TCATGTTTGTATCCCTGTATATATGCATTCAACAGGTATCTACAAAGATCACCATGTGAGAGTCTGTGTGTGTGTAAGCATTACAGATATATACATTGTATCCTATGTATGGGGCAGATACACACATATATTTCCCTATCTCTGTGGAGAAATAAATATGTAAATTTGAGGGGACACCTGTATATACCTATGTATTTTAGTGTGTGTGTGTGTATACAGAGAGCTATATACACAGGTATATGGTACTGTTTATAGAGATATATCCCCCTAATAAACATTGAGAAACACTAAAAGGGGGAGGTACTATAATTTTACATGTACAATATGTATCATTGGTGTTATGTATAATGTACTATATATGTATATCCTTACAGCTGCAGTCCCTGTGTATGTACACACAAATTTATAGGTGTGTATATGTGTGTGTGTATGTACATATGCTGACATATGTGGGGATTTGTGTTCTATTTAAGGAAAGCAGAGGGAGTGTGTTCCATGTACCAAAAGTCCATATGACTGTATGCTATATTTTACAGGGGACTCTTCATCCATGTACGCATTGCCTGTATGTCCTCCTGTGTGTGCACCTGTGTGTATGTATATATATATATATATAAAAAATATATGTATATCAGGTATATACAGGCATATCTTATTTATTTACAGATGTGTGTGTATATATACACAGGTCCCTTGATATTAACCCCCATTATACAAATAGCAATAAAGATATATCTAAGTTCCCAAGTAAAGTTACAATGTATTTTTAATACATATTTGTATATAAATACATGCATCTTATAAATAAATATACACACATAGAGAGGTGGGATCTTTGTTATTTAGTAATAAATAATTATATATATTTAAGGGGTAGGTTATGTATTAGAATGTGTGTGTGTGTGTGTATACATATGTGTGTGTAAAATATTCTTTACGGAGCTCATGTATGCACATATTGCCCATATCTGTAAGGAGACATCTAAGGATTATGTGTATAAAAAAGGGAGAGGGGGAGACAGGCTGCATGTGTGCAGCAGTGTGTCCTACAGAACATGTATGTGCATGTATGTACAGGTGTACAGCACTGTTAATGTTTGTGCATTTCCCTGTGTACCCCTGAATTCCTGTGTCACTCTCTAACAAGGTGTGTGTCTGTACACACATCTCACTGGCTGGTAACACCTATCACATGTGTGTCTGGGTGTGCAGGTGTGGCTGCAGTGCATATCCTGATCTATACATTGTCCTTGTATGTGCACACGGTGACAAGTCTGTGCATTGCTACACAAGTCAGGCTGTGCAGCTGCCCACAACAACTGGATGGAGTTAAAGAGGGCTACACAGTGCAGCTATAAAATGGCTGCATAGAGGTAGGAATGATGCCTTGTTATGGTGGGGGACCATGCACTACAGTGTGTGTGCATCTATATGCAGTTTATTATATATTATGTATTTTATATTGTATATTATACACACACACACACACACTCCCCACATCTGTATGGAGAAGTCTATGCAGGTATAGGTTATATGGATTTGAACTGGGGCAGGCATATCTATGTAGGTGCAGATTGTATTACATATAGATATATATATGCCTATGTATACATCCCATAATAAATTTTGCTGTCTATTAAAGGGTGTTTCTATATAATTTAAAACATGTATAAAGACTGGAGGTGTCATGTGGAGCTATAGAGTTATACAAGTGTTATACATATATGTATATCTTACATTATTTGATACACATTTGATATATATTCCTGTATATACATTCCAGATTTATATATACACACCATAAGACATAAATAGTCATACACAAAGGTAAGTATACATGTGTGTAATTGTATACGTTCCATTTAAAGTGTAACAATTACATTTTCAAAGGAGGAGAACAACAACTGTCCTATAGGTAGTACATACATATGGTTTTATATATCTATGCCTAGACATACACACAGACACACATGGCTATGTATGTAGAAAATGTACATATGTGTGTATAGGTCTAATATATTACATATGGGTCTTTTATTTATATACAAGTGTATATATATATATATATATATATATATATATATATATACACTTATATACATATATACACACACACACACACATATATATGTATGTATATATGTGTATGTATGTGCACAGATGTAGCTCCTCCCCATATCTGTATGCTTTATATATAAAGATTAGGTATGTATAAAATTAAGTGGGTGAGACTGTGTAGATACACCTATGTGTTATATATGGGTGTATCTGCACATGTGTAGAGAGAGGCATGTATTATTATATATTGATAGGTATTGCCAGAGCCCCATAACATACTTGGAAAGCTGTTAAAAGGTACATGTGTGTATATATATATTCACATAGATGTACATATCAAAAGACTAAAAGGGGGAAGGGGTGTTCATGTATAGGTAAAATGTATTCTGTATGTCTCTTTAACTGTGTTCCCCAGCCATACACACACAGTGAGAAATCTATGTATTTATATTTAAAGGTAAGTATACTTGTGAGTGAAAGCACAGGTGTTTTCTATTTATAGATAATTCTATGTATTTAAAAGGAAGGCATGTATTATTAGTCTATATATTATATGTATATGCACTGTATCATATATGGATCTCTATATAGTCTAAAGATATAAATAAAAAAATATATCAATAAAATATGTCCATGAAGTTCTGGCATAGTCTGCCCAGCGAGGTGGTGGAGTCACCATCCCTGGATGTGGCACTGGGTGCCAGGGTTTAGTTGAGATGTTTGAGCTGGGTGGACTCGATGATCTTGAAGGTCTCTCCCAGCCTGGTGATTCTGTGATAAATAGCTATGTAAATACAGAGATAGGGTCCTCTACAGGTATCATCTCCTACATATAGATCTAGCCAATAAATATACATACAGAGAAGTATGTACACATTTCTGTAGAAAGGTAGAGGGGTTGTATACATTTTATTTAGTGGCAGACAGCTGTCTGCCTTTCAAGGGGGCACTGTATCTTGTGTGTGTATAACAGAAGGTCTGTGCACAATGAATTCCATATGGGGCTCATAGAGATATAATTCCTTATCTCTGTATATAAAGGCCATGTGTATATAAAATAGGGTGGGGAGGGGGTGAGAGTCTCCATCTCTGCACCTGTGTATTATATGTAATAAATGTGTATGTTCATGTATGTATGTACCTGTACATGCAGGTATGTGGCATTAGGGATGGCTGTGTATCCCTGCCTGTACAGCCCCAGCATAGATACAGGAGATACATAAAAGGCATGTGTGCATCATTTAAAGACTGGCTCAAGAGAGGAGGGCTGTTGATGTGTAGGTATAAATGTGTGTGTATCTATATCCATGTGGGCACACACCCACATACAGAAAAATGAGTACAATTTGGGGGGGGGGGGGGGGGGTTGCACGCTGTGCAGCAGTAGCTGCTAATTCCAGGTATTTAAGGGAGGTACCTATTGCCTGTCCATGTACACAGGAGGCAAAATGGATGTAGATGCAGTTTCTTATGCACATGTACACACTAGCTATATGACTAAAGCTCTAGGGGTTGGTCTATATACACACACAGATCTAGGCATACAGTGTATCTCTATAAACAGAGAAAAGGGCTGCCTTGCTGAGTATCTGTATATAATATATACACGTGTATGGCTCAGGGGAGTCTGTGTGCTATGTGGGTGTCTCGGATGGCTCTGTGCCCATCCCTGTAGGTACAGAGCGTTGCACATGGCATTGCTCTCACATGGCATTGCTCTCACTCTCTGTACCCTCTCAGCCACCTCTGTCCTCTGTCCCTGCAGACAGCGGAGTCCCCGATGCCGCCATCTGCGTGGTGACCACGGCCGCCATAGACGTGCACCGGCCCAACATCTCGTCGGAGCTGTTCACGGTGGAGGTGCCGCTGCGCCTGGGCAGCACGGGCACCTCGGCCAGCCTCACGTCGGGCAGCGCCTCCCGCTCCACGGCCAGCTCGGGCACGCGGGGCTGCAGCGAGAGCAGCCCGACCCTGGGCTCGTCCCCGGACTGCAGCGCGGCCTGCGAGGAGCCCCGGGCCCCGCTGGCGCCCGCCCGGCAGCGCGCGGTGCAGGAGCTGCTCTCGTCCCTGTCGGAGGAGGCGTGCCTGGCGCAGAAGGGGCTGGATCCCGTCAACCTGAAGCTGCCCAGCCCGGCCGGCTCGGTGGGGGCCAGCCCCGACCTGGGCCACCGGCTCAGCGTCTACAACCGCAGGAACCAGGAGAGCCTCGATGTCTTCCAGCTCAAGCCGCTCCTCGACTGCCCCCAGGGTGCCCCAACGATCGAGGAGAAGTACGGGGCGCTGGGGCCCCCAGAGCCACGGCTGGGCAGGGTTCCCGAGGCATAGGGCCCACCTGGGGCATGGGGACTCCTGCGGGGACACGCTCACCACGCCGGCCATGAGGCTGCCACAGCTGAGGTGGCGGTGCTGAAGACACCTGTGCCATCTGCTGCAATGGCCACCAGCCTAGGGCGAGGCCAGCATCGCCTCTGCTCCCCTGTGCCTGTGGCACGTGACCTACCTGCCCTGCCACCAGCTCTGGGCCAGCTGGGACCTACAGTGGCCATCTGGGAACAATGGACCCTCCAGCACTCTTAGGGCAGTATGGACCCACAGGGCCTGGAGGGACAAACAGACTGTGCCAGGAACACCGTGGAACTTCCACCGGTCCAGGGCCAGCACGAGTCCCATGGTGCCAGGGGCAGGACAGAGCTGCTGGACAGCTTGGGCCCAGCCTGACCCTGCCCAGGGGCTGAGCGTGACTGGGAGGGGTGTGGAGATGGGAATAAACACTGACAAACCCATGCAGCCTCCTGCCTTGTATTGCTCTTGCCTTCTCTTACCTTGCTTTCCCTGAATTGCTTTCTTCCACCCCACCACTCCATGTGCCATGCAACTGACCACCAAAAAAACCCCAACACAAAAAACAACCATCCCAGCACCGCAGTGACCGACCCCACCTCTTTCCAGTAAAATCCTTTATTTGCCCTTACTCCACAGTGCCAGGTCCCGTCACCAGCACTCACTTCTTCTTCAGGAGCTTCGTCATCTCCGGCACCGCCTGCAAACACCAGTGCCAGGGTAGTGCACGTTCCCCTCTGACCCCCACAGACTGACCCTGTGCAGTTCCCTGCCCGGCACTTACACTGCCCACCCTCCCACCCAGCACAGCACTCCAGGCTCACAGCACTCCCCACTTCTCTCCTGCTGAATAAAGCCTCTTAATTATTTAAGAGAGCTACATTTCCATTAGGTGGAAATAATGCATTCGTACAAAATTTATTAAGGAAATTGTCTACATGGTGTTTCTTCAGAATGTGACTTTGTCTCAGGCTCACAAAGAGGCCCGTGCTCACCACGGAGCCAGCGGGCATCATTTCAGGAATGGCATTAAGTGCTGGCAGAGTTTCTGCCCATGCCTCCACAGAGCCACTCCCGCCACTCACACGTGTGGCCACACACAGGCACTGGGACAGGGCTGGCTCAGAGCTCCAGAGGGAACTGCAAGCTCCTCCTGGGCATCAGCCTGTGAGGCAGCAAGCCCAGGCAGAAATCATCACACCTCCTGCCAACTCTCTACTTCCAAACTTTATGAAGCTTAAAAATACATGCAAGCACCTCTGTGTGGTTATTTCCAAAGTGGTTCAACCTCAGGAAACCAGAACTGAGGGAACTGAGGCAGGCTGGCTGTGACACCCCCCCAACACAACCTACTTTCAGGGTTTTGATTTTAAGCATATAAATCATGACATCAGAAAGCAAATCTTTAAACAACAAACACCCTCACACAGAGGTGTTAACACTCATTGGATTATATTATGTAAGCCCCTGACAACTCTCCCAAAGTTACCCTTACATGCAGTTTAGCCTCACCTGAAATAAGTCTGCTACCAATCCATAGTCTGCCACTTGGAAAATTGGAGCTTCTGGATCCTTGTTAATAGCAACAATGGTCTGCAAGCAAAGTTAAAGCACCATATGAATCTAGATATTGATCATCCCCTGGGGCTGGATTACAGGGCCAGGTCTTAGCCAGGAAATGGGCTATATTCTCTCCAAGCCCCCAGAAGCAGAAGATTTATCTGGGCATTTAATATTTTTCCATCTCAAAAACAAGCACCTCCTTCCCTCCACATACACTACAATCCCCCTGAATAAAAAACATACACCCTCCCTTCCCTGCTCATCATACACGTCTCTTCTATCCTTCCCTGTAGAAAAGCCTAGAAAAAAATTACTACAAAGGATAATCTGCACATTCTAAGCTGCAGCACTGCAGAACTAACCTGGAGGCAGCAGTTACAACAAGCACAATACAGCCCTGCCCAAAGGCCTCTGTACTTACAATGGGACAGCATTTAGTTTGTCACACAGTAGAGAACAGCACAACAAATCCCCACACAATGATCCAGAAAACATCTTGGTTTAAACCCTGCCCTACACTGAATCATCCTGAACTGCCTGTGACAGCTCCCAGCAAGATCAGCATGGCTGGGTGTCCCCATCAAAACCTGCAACAGGCTGGGAGCACTCTGCAGAGGAAGGGAGAGGAACCCTGAAGCAAAGGCAGCAGCTCCCAGAAGGAGGGGCCTGGAGCACAGACTGGGGCAGTGCCAGAGGGACAATGGCTGGGACAGTTGTGACCCGACAGGCAGCTGAGGCCCTGACTGCCACACCCAGGGAACCACAACTCCCTGCTCTGTTCTACTCCCTCCACGGAAAATCCAACAAAATTAATGGCTCAGGAAGCAGAGGCCTAGTGGCAGTAACTCAAAGAGAAACGTTTACAAACCCTGTGGTTTTAGGCCCCCAGCAATGTCATTTCTTGGCCATTTGTCCCCTGAGAGTCCCTGCAGAGGACCCCACCACAAATGCAAGTGGGCAGTGCCCAGAGCACTGTCCTGCCCTCTGGCCAAGGACGTGCAAGTGCTGCAGCAATGCTGCCTTTGAAATGTTCTCCCCAGAGCTCTCCTCCTTTACATTTTACTGCAGTTACCCCTCTTTGCAAATGCAAGCCTCCCCAGACAAGCTGCAGTGCAGGGAGCAAATCCAGGCTGTGATCCCTGAGTAAAGCCTTTCTCTGACCCTTCTGAGGCCCTGCCATTCCTTGCAGTTCCATCCACAGGGGCTGACGCTGAAGCCCAGCCAAGGCCAGCACCACAAGGGCTGCCAGCTCTGTCCTTAGCACAAAAATCATTAACAAATTGCTTGCAAAACTGTCTGAAGCTTTGGTTTGGCAGCTTAGTCCTTCCTCTGCCTCCTCTAGCTGAAGTAACTTCAGTAAGATTTGGGTCCCTACCTCATTGCTAACTCAGGTGAGCAGCAAAAGCACCACCCTGCTCACAACAGAACTTTGTGAGTTAAATCTCTGAGTAAGAAAAGATAGGGAAACTCTCATGAAGGAATTAGAAATAAGGAAAGGAAGCAACAACAATTCTTCAGGTCTCCTCAAAAGCTGCATTTTCTACCTTGCTGTAAAAGAACAAATAAATTATACATCTCACTTGGTAGAAAGCATCTGACTGCTCTGGAAAACATATCCTGAAGTGTGCAAGTTCACAATGCCAGATAATTCAGAGTGCTGAGGGAGGACAGGGGACGCTCCAGAGAGCTCCCATGGCTGCAGAATTCTAAACTGGATCTTCTCCATAACTACCCCACCTAAATGTCTAGCAGAAAGGAACACGGAACACATTCCAAATACCAGTAACTAAATCTGAATTTTACAACAGACACATTAGCTTACACTAAAAAAACCCATATATGGGAGAAGTTGAAGGGTTAAATAAGCATCTCATATCAACAAATTTCATCTGTCATTATTTGTTATAGCAGAATACCTCAAAATATCAAACACACCTTTGGAAAAGCCATAAAAGCAGAGGTTTTGCTGTTACAGTACAGGTGAATATCACTGCTCAGTGTTGTTGTAACAAAGGAAATTCTGGATTCTCAAGTCAGAGGTTCCCAGTGCTGCTGGCAGTCTGAACTGGGCTAAGGTAGCAGATGAACACAGAGAGGGTCACATCAAGTCTATGCAGCTTCCAACAGGCAGTTCCCAGGCAGGGGCTGCTGCTCACCCCACCTGCCCATGTCCTCACTCAGCCAGGGGCACAGCTGGAGCCTGAACTGCTGCAAACAAAGCTCCAGACAAAGCCACCTGTGGCCCAGCAGTGTCACAGGAGCCCAGGTGGCCGTGGCTGCAGTGCTGTGTGTCCAGTGCTGTGCCTGGACTCCCCCTCTGCTGCATTGCAAGCAGGAATGTGGCAGAATCTGTAGCAGTGCTGTTCACCAGAGCCCTTGGGAATACCCTGCCACAATTCCCACTTCTCAAGAGACACCTTCACCTCTGCACATCACACACCCTTAACATCTTGAGTTTTGGTTGGTTTTTCTCCACTGCATCAACTAATGCTAACACCACTCATGTCCCTGCTTTTAGAAAGCTTATCGTTTCCCCCCACCAAAATATTTATATAATACATGAGGAAAAAAAAGGTAAGAAAGCAGAGATCCTTTACATCCACACAGGCTGGTTTTGAGGACAATTACCAGTCACAAACTCACTGGTCTGTTACTGGTTAAATACAAAAAATCTACCTGAAAAGTTTTGAAACACTCTTCCTCAGCTTTATAAACTATTCAAAACTGTGCCTTGGTTAAGTTCATTCTCTGAAAATAGAAAAAAAAAACACATAGCCTTTTTTAAAAATTACTGAGGGAGGCAGGACCTCCAGTTTTTGATGTCTGCCATTTGACAGTACCAATGAGGTAACTCTGCTCCTCTTTTCAAACACTGCACCGTGGGCCAAACTGGCAATTCCAATTTTGGATTATTTGCTCTGGCAGCTAATGAGTTAAACCTTTTAAAGTTTTACTGCCATTTTATTGCAGGTTTCCATTTGAATGGCTAAATGCAGGAATGTCAGAGACATCTTTTACTTTATGGAATAGTAAGTTCATAATTCAAATTGTGCATTGTTATGCATGAATTAATATGTCATAGTCTGGAATTAAGGCAAATGGAACTATTGTATAGAATTCAGGCATATGTGCTTTGGGTGGGGTTTTTTTAAACAAAGTCAATTAGCTGCTTCCACTGATCACTGTGGGTTGTGGTGCTAAGGTTTTGCTACTGCATGAGATGTTTAGTCACAGTAGCTTTTTTTGTCAAAGAGTGTTTTAAAGCAGCAGGAATACCAAAACCATCTAAAGCACTGATGTAAAAGCAAGGGAGTCAGCTCACTTCCCTCCTCAAAAATCTCTTCTAGTACATCCACCTTCACATACCTTGCTGTCTTTCATTCCAGCCAAGTGTTGGATTGCTCCAGATATTCCCACAGCAATGTAAAGTTCCTGGGAAGAAACAAGAGACAGACATTTTTGGTCTCCATACCACAGTCTCACTAAGTTCTCACAAACCTTAATCAAATCAATTACATGCAGCAGTTTTTACATTACAGTAGTTTCCAGCACTAAAGGCAGCTGATGGTTGGTTCCCTTCCCCACCTGGGGATGCAATGTGACTGCAAAAGGAGAATCCCAAAGGAGCACAGACAGATTAGGGGAAAACAATAAACAAAGTCTGCATCAAAAACATCCACCATGCTCAGCTAAAGGCCAGGGCAATCCATGTTCTCCACCACCCTGGAGATTCCCAGTGCAAATATTAGGGAAGAGAACCTACAGAGGGATAATGCAGCTGCCTGAAGAGCAAAGCAGGGCTCTTCAAAGCCCCTCAGACAGAATGCTCAAAGCTGAAACTGAGGTGTGAGGCCTTTGAAAGGCTCCCTTTAGAGCAGGATGAACCTTTGAGGAACCCCAGAGGGCTGGTGCCCTGTCCATGCCCACCTGCAGTTTGTGTTCCTCCCCGAGCCCTCCCAAAGCCTCCCTTCCCCACCCACTGCCCACTCCCACACAGGATGGGTACAGAAGGCACACCAGCTACATCAACAACGCTGCACTTTGGGGCTTCCACTTTTATCTCCAAAGAGCCTTACAGTCAAAAGAGATTGCAATTTATAGGTAAATAAATCTGTGTCAGCTGTTTCATTCACAGCTGAAAACTATTACCTCTCCTTGGGCTGAAAGTCATCCATTCTATCATCCACCCAAAACCAAGGGTATTTCAGGGCCCTGACAGTTCTTCCAGTCAGAGCTGGACTCTTCAGCTCACTAATATTACAGAAGAAAACTAAGGAAAGTACTTTTCACCAACTCATTCAATAACAGAAAATTAACACATAAATTTTGTTAGGGGCTCACCTACCAAAAGCAGTCAAAAGGTGGTACTTCACATGGGCTTAGAAAAGACACAGCCCCAAATAGCAACATAATTTCTTTTAAAAATACCAAGGGTATTCCTTATCTAAGAAAATATAAATCTGATTTAACTCAATAAATAATACTGGGGGGCTACAGGGAAGGTAAGAGGATCAAAACCAATCTTAGCACTGTGCAACTGAAACTGCATTAGAGTTAAGTGGCTTTCAGCATGGCAGAGCCAAGCCCAGCTGTGGGACATGCACAGAGCTACACAGGAGTGGCAAACCAAGGTGTTCACACACAGACCCACAGAGGCTTCTGCCATACAGGCCTCAGAGTCATTACAGCAGTTAAAGAAAAAAATGCTTTCTCTTGTTTCTCCAACCTCAGATTCTGCTCACCATGGTTTTTTAAATAGGAATAGATAAATGAAATGTATGAAATTCTTCTGTATTTTTATAAAAAACTCTCTAGTGTGAAAACTGAAGGGGAGGGGAAATAAAGCAGAAATAAAGTATTTCCTATCAAAAAGGCTTCCTTTGAATCATGGAATCTAGTCCATGTCCTTCCACAAAACCACACAACTGGTGAACACACTCAGGAACTCCTTGGCCTCAGCAGGCTTTTACCAAGTGGATTACTATTGGAGGCCAATCCATTTTAACCACAGCTGCAATGTAACCTAATATGTCCACATTAGAACTCATGGTAAGAATGCAATATTTTAATTATACCAAATAAAAGAACAGATGTTACAGGAGAAATTATTCTAACATCATGCTGTCTTTAATACAAGCTCTTTTTAAAGACACATTACTGTAATTTGATTTTTTTTTTAGAGCAATTCATTAAGTGCCAGTCATCCAGACTACCAGATACTCTTATCAGTCTGCTTAACATTGTGAAGTTCAATCTTTGGAAAGAATCCAGCTAACCAGGAGCCAGATGCCTATGAATATATTCTATTAAAATATCTAGGAAAGACAAGGATGTTTCATTAAAAGGACATTTGTAAATCACCAGGCTTGTCTAAAAGCACTTATTATGCATCCAGGCCATGGCCTTGCAGGTTATGTGCTCTGGGCTCCCTGGTTCAGACAAGTGGTGCTGCCAGGCAGCTCCAACCCTGACAGGAGATCACCTCTGCAATGTTTACAGAGAGAGCACACAGGACAGCAGGTTCTTAGCAACACTTCTGTGCTGTCAAAGGGACAGGACTGCTTAAATCTTGGTTTTAATCTACTCTGCAGTTCAGTAGAAGGGACCCAAAGGACCCACAATGTCTAAATGATAAAGCTTCAGGACTGTTCACTGCTGTCCTGAGGAGAATTCAGCTGGTCATTCAGAGATGACATAAAGCATTGAGAAATTCAAATCTTTATTTCTTTTCAGAGTAACAACCTTGTTGTGATGCTTTCCCTGAAATCAGTAACTTCTGTCAGGCCTTTTGCTGAGTCCTGTCATTGCTGTGTCAAAGTTCCCAGGTGAGGTAGAGAAGCAGAAAGGAGCAGGGTACCCCAGGGCAGGGTCACTTGCAGAGGGTACCCCAGGGCTCTGCCATGCTAAAAGCCCTTCACTGTAATGCAGTTTCAGCAGCACACACAGCAGGCTCTGCAAGGAGCTCCTCTGGGCAGGACACCCAGCAAGGCACAGAGCAGATGAACCCAAGGCTGGGTCACACCCCTCAGGGGCCAGATATGGCTTTACACCAACGTCAAGTTCCAGCTTTTTGGAACCCTGCAAGTTGCTCTAATTCCTGCTGCCAGGCACAGCCCCCAGTTAGAGGCACTTAGAGCAAAGTCCAGGCCATGGAGCAGCATTTCTCAACTCCCTAGAGCTGGGCACAGGCAGATTTCCACTGAAGGGCTGCTGCCAGCACTGTGCCACACGAGAACAGGCAGCAAAACAGCACACACATATTCCAGAGCAAAGGCTTCACAGCACTCTGAACACATGAAGTGCCAAAAGCAACTGAAGTCAAGGAAGTAAACATTTTGGTGGTATATGGACATGACATCAGCTTAGAAAATTGCCTTGGCTCTCAGGAACTTCATTTCACGCAGGAAATACTGTACAAACATCACAGCCATGCCACAAATATTTTTATGAAGTTGCTGGCAGACATCAGCACAGGGAAAGGACACCAGAGAAGAGAGCTGGTGGCAAGGAAGAGCAGATGGAGGGAACACGGTGCACAGGACACTGAATGCACCAAACAGGCAGGACACTGCAGAGCAGAGCACAGGGAGGCACCATGGGGAGGTACCAACACTCCAGATGTGCTGCTGGCAGGGCTCAGTACATCAGGAGATGGGAAGCACCCACGAGGCTTCTCCCAAGGGTACAGCAGCAGCACAAGGTGTCTCTGCCAGCCCAGAGGCTAAGGGGCTTTATCTGCCCTGCCACATGTCCTGCACAGTGCTGGTGCCAGGCAGGACCCTCACACAGACCTCCAAGTTTATAACCACAGACTTGCAGCACAACCACCCTAAAAAACCCCACAACTCCAACGCCCAAACTGATCCTATTTAAAGTCACGATTCCAAATCAAAAATCCACTTTCTCAGCTGCTAGTTAAAGTATTCACCTAGACTTACATTTTTCCAACAGAAATGACTCTAGTATGTCTTAGAGTGATTACATGCTAATCATTAAAATGAAAAAAAAATCCTCCTTGGCCATTCCCTAAACTCTATTTCTGCCTCAGACATACCCAATTTATTCACTGGCAGATTTCACATGCACCAATCTGCACACCTGGCCCCAAATCCATACAGCCAGTTACTTGCTGTTTGGACAAATGCACAGGAGTGCTGTATGTGGGTGACTGCAATTACCAAAATACCACTGCAGTTATTTTCCTGTGCATACAGACTCTTGCAATTATTTATAGAATAATTTGTGGCATATGATATTACTTCATGTATAGTTATGAGAATATTTAAATATGCCTTAGGCTGCCTTGGGGCAGGTAAGGGACGTTTGCTTAAGAGAACTACAAGAACAGTTTTTATTTCAACTCCAGAGCCCCTGAATGGTGCTGTGAGAGCTCACAGGGCAGCCACAGGTGCCAATAAGCTGAGGTAGCTCCTTTGCAAGCATGTTGTCAACTGCTATTGATTTTGATGACAATTTTTGAATTATGCTGAAAACCTCCAACACACACTAATTTATCATCCTACCAATAGCATGCTTTTAAACAGGCCACTTTAATAAACCCCTCTGGCATACACACTGTTTTTAAAGGCAGCTGAGGTATTTTATTTTCTTTGCAAGAGTGAAAGGACAATGAAATTAGAAAGAAATCTTTGTGATCAAAATGGCTTTGTACAAGAGATTCCTTCCAATTACAAGCTATTAGGCCAATAAAATATTTTCTGGCTTGACAGTAGTTCATGCCTGCTACACTGTACCTCACACACTTCTCCAGGACGTGCAGCTGAAGGCAGTCCATGCAGGAAGCACACATCACTAAACCAGAGCCCAACTGCAGCTTCTTTTTCACTTTAAGAACCTTTGATCAGCCAAGCTGTGTAATTACTCTTAAGCATGGCTAGGGTGTCTGCTGGAGTGCAGGGCCATACAGCATTTTTTTCCCCTCTCTCCAGGGAAAAGCACATCAATTGCTTTCAGCTAAATGCACTCACATATGAATATTTTAGTACAATTTAATGTTTCTGCACCAACCCCAAAGGAGCAGAGCATCAATTTGTGAACATAGTTTTCTTGGAGTTAAAAGCTACACTGGATAATGCAGGATGAAAGGGGTTGTCAATCCTTAGCTTTTTAGCAAGTCAGAGAAAGACAGTCTGTAAATTCAGTCCCAGCTGCATACAAACAGCTCTCTAAAGTTTGCCACCATAAAGCTACTTTTCAACAACAGAGAATTATCAGAGGAGATATTCCAAAAACAATTTCCCAAGCACAGTTGGTTTTCCCAATGCTATTCCCATCTGCCACCTACCTAAGAGCCCCAACCATTTGTACCATGCAAAGTGCACCTGCTGGGCTGTTAATAACACCCACAAACCTGATGGACAAATAACACATTCCTACAAAGCTGGAGAGAGCAGAAATGATGTACCATGCTT